TTATACATTTAAGTACTGAGTAATATGAATTAACTACATGTACTTACTATATTGTTAGGGTTAGGATTAGGGTTACTTGCATTTAATTATGCCTAATTTATTGTTTTTACAATAGTAGGTACATGGAACATGTATAACAAGGACACCTTAAAATAAAGTGGTACCTAACTGAGTATAATATCAGTAATTCCACTGTAAAAAAAAAAAAAGTTACTAAATAAGTTGCAAGTTACTAAAATTACTTCTAATAATTGTTTAATTTATTTGTAGCTTTCATTCAGATATTCTTTATATATATATATATATATATATATCAATGGAAAGCTTATTTATTCAATATATACAATAGTACAAAATATACAATTGAGCCACCATTACAAATTGACTGAGTATGGGAAAAATATGAGGATAGTTGTAAGTTTGTGGCAGGACCACAGCTATGTCATGGGAAGTGGTGCTCAATTTTAAATCCAATCCTGCAATTAAATGCAAATTGGAAGGATGGCTCTACATATTAGAGAGTTGAAAGCCAACTGAGCTGCTGAGTTTTAATGCATTAGAGATGTTTAGGCATTGGTCTGCTGGGAATTGTCTGCAGTGGTAGATGTTGGGCCACTGATGACAACAGCTTATTAATAAACTGAACTGAGCTGGATATTGACACTAGTTTTGCAACACCGACAGTGTTATTGAACTGAATTGAAACAGCACTGGACTAAATTAAGATGAATAATGACACTTATCTTCTAGAGCTGCTTTACAGCTGAAATTGAATTTTTTGGAGGAATTTTACAACATTAACACTGTTATTTTTCTGCTATTAATGTAAAGCTGTTTTGAAACAATCTGTACTGTATAAATGGGACTTGACTTAATAAATAAAATAAGTTTATATAAAAATAAATGATTAGTAATATGTGTCATAGCATCACAGAGTCGCCAGCACAGAAGAATTTATGGCCACAATTGTTGTTGAGCTGATTATAGGTTTTACTCTAATTAGTGACAATTTTTTTCTTTTGGAGTTCATCACCATGGAAACCTTTGCTTCATGGCTAAGGGCCATAATACACCAGCTTCTTCCTGAAGCAGTGCAGAGAGGACAGATTTTCAGTGACTAACATTAAATTCCCTGCTAACATCCTGATGTGCATCAGAGACATTGAAAGAAGTAAATCAAGTGCCAGTCAAACCTAATATTATTCTATATTGTTTTATCATAGTAGCGTATAATGTTTTTGGAATGGAGTCTCTTATGCACACACAGGCTGCATTTATTTCATCATAAAAACAGGAAAAACAGTAATATTGTGAAATACTATAACAATTTAAAATCAGCAGCCATTTCTCCAGTCTTCAGTGTCACATGATCCTTCAGATATTATTCAAATATGCTGATCTGATGCTCAAGAAACATGTCTTATTATGATCAGTGTTAAAAAACATAAATAAATGAAAACGGCTGCTATTTGTATGAATGTAATGACTACTCCGTAAATGTTTCATATTTTCTTGCTGTTGTCCTTTCTTGTTTTCATATTCAGTTGTAATTCAGAGCGCAGATTTAAAGAAATATATATATAGTTTTTTGTAATGTTATGTTTATTATTTTATGTCATTGTTGTAGGCCTGCTGGTCGGAACTTTGGACACAGTTCTTGACTCCACAGCTAAAGTCGCCCCGTTTCGCATTTTACACCAGACGCCCGACTCTCAGGTGTACTGGAGCATCGCCTGTGGTGAGAGAGATGCTGCACACATAGTTAATGTGTATGTGAAGGCTCAGACTCTCTTCATTTAGATCCTTATATAATGTGTGTGTGTGTGTGTGTGTGTGTGTGTGTGTGTGCAGGGGCATCTTTAGAGGAGATCTCACAGCACTGGGACTGGCTGCAGCAGAACATCATCAGAACTCTCTCTGTGTTTGATTCTGGCGAAGACATCACCAGTTTTGTCCAGGGAAAGATAAGGGTGGGAGGGATATTTGTCTCCAAAACACTTTAGAATGTAGTTTTTTCTTGTTTTTGTGTTTTCCAGCTTCTTCCTGAAGCAGTGCAGAGAGGACAGATTTTCAGTGACTAACATTAAATTCCCTGCTAACATCCTGATGTGCATCAGAGACATTGAAAGAAGTAAATCAAGTGCCAGTCAAACCTAATATTATTCTATATTGATTTATCATAGTAGCGTATAATGTTTTCATGTTTTTGGAATGGAGTCTCTTATGCACACACAGGCTGCATTTATTTCATCATAAAAACAGGAAAAACAGTAATATTGTGAAATACTATAACAATTTAAAATCAGCAGCCATTTCTCCAGTCTTCAGTGTCACATGATCCTTCAGATATTATTCAAATATGCTGATCTGATGCTCAAGAAACATGTCTTATTATGATCAGTGTTAAAAAACAGAAATAAATGAAAACGGCTGCTATTTGTATGAATGTAATGACTACTCCGTAAATGTTTCATATTTTCTTGCTGTTGTCCTTTCTTGTTTTCATATTCAGTTGTAATTCAGAGCGCAGATTTAAAGAAATATATATATAGTTTTTTGTAATGTTATGTTTATTATTTTATGTCATTGTTTTAGGCCTGCTGGTCGGAACTTTGGACACAGTTCTTGACTCCACAGCTAAAGTCGCCCCGTTTCGCATTTTACACCAGACGCCCGACTCTCAGGTGTACTGGAGCATCGCCTGTGGTGAGAGAGATGCTGCACTAAATAAATGAAAACGGCTGCTATTTGTATGAATGTAATGACTACTCCGTAAATGTTTCATATTTTCTTGCTGTTGTCTTTTCTTGTTTTCATATTCAGTTGTAATTCAGAGCGCAGATTTAAAGAAATATATATATAGTTTTTTGTAATGTTATGTTTATTATTTTATGTCATTGTTTTAGGCCTGCTGGTCGGAACTTTGGACACAGTTCTTGACTCCACAGCTAAAGTCGCCCCGTTTCGCATTTTACACCAGACGCCCGACTCTCAGGTGTACTGGAGCATCGCCTGTGGTGAGAGAGATGCTGCACACATAGTTAATGTGTATGTGAAGGCTCAGACTCTCTTCATTTAGATCCTTATATAATGTGTGTGTGTGTGTGTGTGTGTGTGTGTGTGTGTGCAGGGGCATCTTTAGAGGAGATCTCACAGCACTGGGACTGGCTGCAGCAGAACATCATCAGAACTCTCTCTGTGTTTGATTCTGGCGAAGACATCACCAGTTTTGTCCAGGGAAAGATAAGGGTGGGAGGGATATTTGTCTCCAAAACACTTTAGAATGTAGTTTTTTCTTGTTTTTGTGTTTTGTGGTATTTTAGATGTAAGTCCCAGTCTTGCATTGTTGACTTCAGTGGCGGTATGTTGTGTTTGTGTAGGGTCTGATAGCAGAGGAGGGCACATCAGCCGCTGACGAGGAGGATCCCGAACGCTTCCGGGAGGCTGTGCTGCGCTTTGAACGTCTGTTCGGTTTGCCTCAGAGAGAGAAGCTTGTGACGTATTTCTCTTGCAGCTACTGGAGAGGACGAGTGCCAAACCAGGGCTGGATCTACCTCAGCACCAACTTCCTGTGTTTCTACTCCTATATGCTGGGAACTGAGGGTTAGAAACGTGATCGCCTGTTTACACATAATACCACAAGCTGGCTATTTTATGATGGTTATGATGTCTGAACAATGTGTTTATTAGCAAAGGGGTTTTATAATTGTTTGGAACCAAGGCCCCACATATATTATTATACTTGTGGCCCCCTGGGTGGTCCCTGGACCCCTATTTGAAAACACCTAACACTGCCTTTCAAAAGTTTGGGATCAGTAAGATTTTTAATGTTTTTTTTTTTGTTTTTTTTTATGAGTCTCTTTTGCTCATTAAGGCCGCATTTATTTGTTCAAAAATACAGAAAAAACCCCAGTAATATTGTGAAAGATAATTGCAATTTCTAATATTGGTTTCCTATTTTAATATTAGTGCTGTCAAACGATTAATCGCGATTAATCGCATCCAAAATAAAAGTTTTTGTTTGCATAATATATGCGTGTGTTCTGTGTATATTTATTATATATATATATAAATACACACGCATACAGTATATATTCTGAAAATATTTACATGTATTTACATGTCTTTATATTCATGACATTTATATTATAAGTAAATACATTTAATATATAAAAACATATTTCTCTGAAATATATACATGCATGTGTGTGTTTTATATATACATAATAAATATACACACAGTACACATACATATATTATGTAAACAAAAACTTTTATTTTGGATGCGATAAATCTTTTAAAAGAACTCAAATATATTAAAA